TCAAAACTGAGTTTTTCCTGTTCAAGCTCAGCCACAGGCTGAGGATTTGCTTTGTTTTGCAGTCACTCAGCTTTGCCCAGATGTCCTTCAGCAGGAAAAACAAACAAAAAAAAAATCCAAAGCCAGGTTTTGATTTCTTCTTTCACTCCACATCTACATGTATTTTTTGTTCAATAGGAAAATCAAAGAATCACAGGATGGTTTGGGTTGGCAGGGACCTTAAAGATTATCTTGTTCCAACTCCCCTGCCATAGGAAGGGACACCTCCCACCAGACCAGGTTGCTCAAAGCCCCATCCAACCAGGCCTTGAACACTTCCAGGGATGGGACATCCACAGCTTCTCTGAGCAACCTGTTCCAGTGCCTCACCACCCTCAGAGTGAAGAATTTCCTCCTAATAGCTAATCAAAATCTATCCTCTTTTAGTTTAAAACCATTACCCCTCATCCTGAGGACTGATGAACTAGTGAAAGCCAAGATCTATTCCACTGTCACGAAAAATATGACCTTTTCTCAGCAATAGATGGGGAAAGAGTGTCTGGCACTGGCCCCACCAGCTAGGAAAGAGAGGAGAAAAGATCAGCCATGGGAATGTGGTCTGCCACCATTTATAATCCTAGCCATAGCTGGGCAGCCAACAGAGGAAACACGAGGAGGGCTGTAAGAAGTCATTCAGCAAAGTAGAGGTGTAGGAGGGATTGGGACATCTCAAATAAAAATGCTTCAAAAAATAACGAGGTTGGGCATTAGCACAAAGAAACACCTCCTCCATTCATTAGGATCTCTTCTAGGAAGGTTATAAGGCTGATAAGAAAAGGTAACATTTTCTTTGGAGAACTCACTTTTTAAATTAATATCTTAGGAAAAAAAAAATCTCTAAATGACAATTTTTACAGAGCATTCTGATTATATGCTGTCATTTTATAAAGGGAAAAACAAAAAATGCTTGGGTCCCCATCCCCAAACCATGGAAGGATCTGCTCAGAGGTTCAGCATGAGGCACATTGGTCCAGCTCCCTCTCCATCTGGGTACGTTCCTGACTTCCACGTGCAGAGGGAATAATCAGTGATGCCACCCATCAAACCTGCCTCTGAAGAGTTGTTGGCCTCATTTCCAGGCATTTGACTGAGGAATGTGTCATTCACCTCCCCTCAGCAAGCAGACACTTCTCAAGGGGAACCATGGGTCGGTTGCACACACACTTCTAGTCTTGAGAAGGACAAAGCCAAGTCTGCTCTCCTTTCTGCCCTTCAGTCTTCTTCTGGAGAGTCCCACAAAAGGAACTGGTAGGCAAACACCACAGTGCACTTCTCAGAGCACCCAGCACACACACACTTCTGAACAGCATTCAGTTGGCCATGGTTTATCCCACACGTAACTCGCAAAGGTGAAGCACCGGTAACCCGGGACTCCAAATAGTGACAATTACATGAGCACTGCTGGAACAGGTCCATTCAATGATGGGTAATTTGAAATCCCCAAAGCAAATGATTTACTTAAATTCTACTAAACCACCAGAGTAAGTGAGCACCTTCAGACTAGGCATATTTGTTGCACCATAAAGGTGAGCTGTTGTGTAATGAATCAAAACCATTACTGACTTTTTGGTGAGTTATACTGAGCTGTGGCTGTTCTTAAGACAACCACAGAAATAGACTAACAGACAAAGATAAAGGCAAGGAAATTATATGAAGACGCAAGCTGTACTAATTTTAATGAGTGGACAAGGGAAGGCGAAGAGTGCTTTCAGAAATATCTTCTTTTTTTTTTTTTTCCGGGTATCTAAGGACACTAGAATCTCAGATCACATTATTAAAACGTACTGTGATTGAGACCTCAGTAATGATTGCGAGCAGAAGGATCTCTCGGCCAGTCTAAGATGATTAATTGCTTGTGATGCCTCCAGAAACTCGAGCGAGTCCAAGCAGCACGAGATGAAATTCAGATTCCCCACAGCGCCATGAGCATATGCTTTGCATCCTGGCAGTACAACAGCTAAGCGAATTTGCTTTATTTGTGCAGCCCCTGGGGTGCTGGGAACGATGGCAGGCAAGGGGTTAAGTAGTGGCATTGTGGTTTCTGGAAGGGAAAGGCACGCCTCATTAACTGGCTGGAATTCGTGGAGGATATGAGCACCAGGGTGGACATGGGAAAGGCAGCAAACACCATATTACCAAGGTTTTCAAGGTACATTGAACACAGGTCGGCAAAAGAGGTCAGTGCTGATGGAGCAGATGATAGCAGGAGGTGAAAATGGCCCTGAGAAATCAAGGGCAATGCAGAGGGAGTTGGGAGAGCACAGCGGGTATTTAATGGGAGAAACTCACCTCTATGCAGCCTCTCCATACATGGCTGTGACTTCTTCTGAAACTGGCCCACCGTTCCCAACAGAAAGAAGGATAACAAATGTGCGGTTGGCTCTTGAAAACATCACCCATTTCCATGCATTTAGTTTCTCCCAGGAGTACCACCCTCCATTTTCCAACCCATCGTTTTCATTTACAAAGCTAACATGGTACAAGATATTGATATGTATTTAATGATTCTCTGGTTCCCAATGCAAGTGTCCTGAAATTTGTAGAAGCTTGAACATGTCCAGGTACATATGGCAGACATTTCACCTCCTGAGGGTCACCTGCACCCCCACCAGAGAGCACACAGTAACTGCAATCCTATCTATCTGTCCCTCTCCTTTAAATACTGTACCACACAGCTCCCTTCTTTGCCAACTGTTCAAGTAAATCAGAGTCCAGGATGTTTCTGTTATTCTCTGTTTTAAAATTATAAAGGCAAACTGAGGCAAAAAGACTAGATTCATGCACACAACGACCTCAGCGCCTTGTTATCCAAAAGGTCACTGATAGGAAATGCATTCATGAAACAGGAAATGTTGATTTTGACTGCTTTATCTGTCTTGAGGAATTTGGATAATGTTATTGTTGTAACAGTATTTCACTTTGATGTAGAAAATTAAATAACCATGAAAGTGCGGCCAGAGCTGTGCATAGCCTCCTGCAAGAGCAATTCACGTTAGCCTAGTAAAAAAGTATTTGTTTTCTGCTCTCTGGCTCCAGAAGCGTTTAAATGTTCTACATGGCATGGTAAGTGCAACACAGAAGCTTGAGAGGATATGAGGATATTCTTTTCATACTCTTTTTTGGGGTGAGGAATATGGATTTGACCCCATTCTGCAGGGAATCCAGCTTTTTTGTACTCCAAGCACGTGTTTTTCCTCTGTTGGTTTATAGAGGTAAAGGCAAACCACCAGCTCCTTCCCCATGAATCTTGTGTTTTTGTGTTTTGTATGTTTGTTTGTTTGATTGATTGATTGATTGATTGGTTTTGTTTTTTCTTTTCCTCCGAACTATGCAACAGTTTTGGGTCAAATCCAGAAATAGTTATAGAATGACTTGAAGTCTTTTACTTAAGGTAGCTCAAAGGATTGTACTTTTCTTTTTCTTGAGTTAAAGCTTTATTAGAAATGCATGGCCCTGAGACAAGAGGAGCTAAAAGGTACAAGGAAGCACTGCACATGCTGGGAAGATGGAAACTCTACTTCTGTTACCTCCTGATACATTGGGCAAGGCTGACCTGGGCTTGTCTGCTCAGCTCTGAGCAGCGGTGTGCACAACCTGCTGCTTTGCCTTGCAAGCTTCAGCTGGAAGATTTACAGCAGCACTAGCAATGCTCAGGGAGGATTGTTCATCAGTCTGTAACATGGACTTCATTGTGATTTACATTGGAATCCCTTAGTTGCATATAAAGTACACTCAGACTTACTACACTTGCTTTTTCCTCTGGTCAAAAGAATTCAGTTGGGAAAATCGTATATGTAAATCCATTCACTTATAGCATTTATTTTAATCAATTTTGCAATCTACTTCTCAGGAAACAGCACTCTAAATCTAAAAATTTGCTATCCCCTAATCACCAATGTTGAGGGACTGTATCTTATTGTGGAAGAAAACAAATGGCCAACAAAATTGATCCCCTGACCTTATCCTGTCATTTTGCTTCTCTCAGCACAGCATACACAGCAAATTATACATACCAGCTAAAGCGCAGCACCTGATGTCTCAGCCAGGGTTTGGGACTTTCCTTTCTGCTTTATTTCTAAATATCAGCTGTAAAATTACATCCCAGGTTGATAACGAATCTTTCCATTTGAACCTGCACAGGGCCAGAAACAGGAACCACTCTGTGGTTAAGCCACTTCTTGCTGGCCAAACTCATTGCTGATGTTACCAGCAAGACCTGTTGCAGTTATTCAACTTTGTTCTCACCTTCCAAGAGCCAAGAGACAGGAGAAAACACTTGTGAGCACTTCAAATGCAGCTGGACTCGATGATCCCTGTGGGTTCCTTCCAACTCAGGATATCCTACGATTCTAAGAAGGCCCTTGGTCTGCAGGGCTGTCCCACCACACAACTGTTTGGCATAACATATGAACCTTTTCAGCCCTGTTCTAATGTCCCTGGTTATCTTGTGGGCAGGTCCACCCATCCCCATCTCTCCCTGATGCTAGGGAAAAGCTCTGGGCATCCAGAGCCTTTGGTTGTAACTTGCATTGACAGTATTTTGCAAACTCTTAAGACACAAGCATGCCTAAGCAACTGAGGATCAAACCCTAAAGCAGTCTTGTACTACAATACATTTCACTTTTTTTTCAATTTATTTTTTTGGTCCGTTGAGTATTTGTTGGCCCAGGTATGATTTGGGACTGGAGAACAAGCTCAAAGCACCGTGAAACCACTGGTACTTTTTCCCCTGGTGCAGGTAGGCTTTGGGGTGGCCATTGGGAACCAATGCACTGCTCAGCTGCTCCTGCTTGTGTGCCCTGCAGAAGCAGACTTTGGGCTGAGGCCAAAGGAAAAAGTGCCTCCAGGTTCCTGTATGCAGAGGACATCAGCCTTGATTGCCTGCAGAGGTGTGCTCCTCTTCCAAAGCAGTTCCCTCGAGCAACCAAAGTGCCAAAAGTGAGGATGCAAATTCAAATGCATTGAAGCAAACCAGAGTTTATTTAGCATTTATTACCCATTCTGCTGTTATACGTGTCTTCTTCTGTCTCCATTTTCCTCTGGTAAACATAGACCTTTTCCTTTTTTATTTTTTTAATAAAATATATAAAACATTGTGCATTGCTATCCATAGGAAAACTGTAGTTTAACAACAAAAAAAAAGAATAAGGCACATTCCTGTGCAGCATCTTCAAATATATATATATATATATTTAAAACAAAACAAACAAAAAGAAAACCCTTTTCAACCTCTTTGAGGTTGTTAACATCTCACCAATCACTGACACATCTCTTATATTACCATAATTTCACTGTCGGAGGTGGGTTGGGTTGTGTTTGACAGGGGCCAGCAGGGAGAACAGACTCAAAAAAATAATAGGATTTTATCCCTGAGGTGTCAGTAAAAAAAAAAAAAAAATGCTCCCATTGAAAAGGAAGATGAAAAGACAGCCATAAATAACTGAATACACTATGGCAAACATCCAAGCACCGAGATGATTTCACGATGGAAGAATCCCCCCCTCCCCCCCATCCCCCAGTTCTTAACATGTCATTTGCCGTTGGGTTTTAATTAGGTTAATCTCATGGCTTCTGAAGTCACAAGACAATCGGTCAGGATGTACCTCCCCCTCCCTTCCCAAATCATCTTTCCAGACTTGTAGTTTCGTTCACAATTCTCCCAAAGTCCTCAGGAAAGAGAAACCCCAAAATCCTAAACGAAAACCAAAACCTAGATGACTCCTCTCCCCAGCCAAGAGGGGAGCGCTTGTACCGCGGCGTGCCAAGCTCCATGCCCCACATGGGAGGACTCTAATCGCCGGCTTCCTGACGGCTACTAAGAAACAAAGTTGGCAACCACCTCTGATGTAACCAGAAAGTGTCCATGAAGAGGGGTGATAGCAATATGTCAGGGAAAAGGAGAGGGGGAAAGCTTTATTGCTGTCCATCCACACTGCCCCAGGTAGTACTCCTGGAAGGAAAAGAGGAGACATCCAGGTGAAACTGCTCCCCTCCCTCTCCTCTACCAGGTGTGGAGGAGCAGTGCGGGATGGTTGGGCTCCCCACCACCTAGTAGTAGCGGTTGAGGCTCCTGGTCCCTGGGATGTCTGGCTGGCCATTCATCCAGATCTCCCGGATGATGCGCTCCCGTTCCTCCAGCCTCTGAGCTCGCTCCAGCTCCTCCGCCGACGTGAAGACGTTCATGTTCAAAGTCCTCTCGAACCTGCGGTGCCTGCGGGCAGAGAGGTCAGAAGTGGTGTCCGAATCGTCGTCACTGTCGCTGCTGTCACTGTCGCTCTCCCGCTCCCGAGGAGGTTTTTTGGCGGAGGAGCGTTTGCAGTCCGTTCGGCAGGACACCCTGAGCACCAAGGCCAGCAGTGTCAAGACGAGTCCAATGCACACTCCGGAGACAAAATACAGAGCAGCCCGCTCAGGGTTTTCTGGAAGGGGAAAGGAAACAATGCTTGAGAACAACCCTTAAAAGAACAGAACGCACAGTTTGCTCCTCTGTGCAAATTCCAGTAATAGTCTCTGGAGGGGCAAAGTTTCTGATGGGTCTTTTGCTTCCAAATGTCCTTTGCCACCTCTCCCCAGGGAAGCCAGGGAGGGGAATTTAAATGGTGGATTTTTGCCAAGGCATTTACCCACATGCAGAATGTGGGTTAGCTGCAGTTGCGTCTTGGAGTTATCTGGAAGGGGTAGGAGCAGCCCACAGAATTAAATGCTAATTCCAGTGGCTGTGGGAGTGGGGCTGAGACCAGGGAGCTGCACACCCAGCAGCAGCTAAGTGCAACTCTCTGTCACATCCATTATCTTCACACAAGGAATAAAGATTATTATAAAGCTTTATACACTCCCTGTGCTGTGGCCCAGCAGAAATGGCAAGCCTTACAGCATGGAAAAATGTGTATTACTTATTCATAGGTTTCATTTGCTTATCTAAGGCAAGTGTGCTGGCTTTCTGCCCAGACCACCAAAAAGTATACCTGTGCTGCAGAAGCAGAGCTGGAGTTAGTGCACTAACAGGATGAATCCTGCATGGCCGCATTTCAGAGGTGATATAACAAGACTCCAAAGGACCCACAGTGCCTTTTAAACTAGGTTATCTTGTTTACTTACTACAGGGGTTTTTTTGGTTCGTGGGACTACTTAGAAGTGTAATTATGATAAATGTTGTTACTGTGATTCCCCTGGGCTGAATCATCCCAGCATATTCTGGGTTTATAGATAGACTGAATGGGTGAAGATGAACCAAGCAGAAGTGTCAAGACCAGCTCTACTCTGCTGTGTCTGTTGGGAGTCCTGAGTTGAAGGATGGAGTCAGCTCCTCAGATGAATCTTACTCCTTTGAATTCAGTGACAGAGCTGTAACAGTTCCCCCAGCTGAGAGCCTGACACTGCATCCCTGGAAGATCTCAGTGACTAAAAGGCTCGGCCCTACCTTCACCTCCCCACACCGTGCTTTTAGAAACTGATTTCCTTAAGGAAAGATGAACTGGAAAACATTTGGAGATACTCAAAACTCAACAGGACAAGATGCTGAGCAACCTGCTCTAACTTCAGTGCTGACTACATTCTGTGCAGGGGCTTGGACCAGGTGACCTCTGGAGGCCCCATCCAACCTAAATTATTCTGATTCTGTGGTCAGAACCTAGACACTGGCTTGTGTGTGGTTCAGGGCAATGTGTGGTTCAGTGTATGGAGATGCTCATGGAACAGTTACAGGAAAGAGATGACTTTGTGCTCTGCATTTCTCTTTTACCAAAAGCATCCAAAGATGACTGACAAGCTAAGGAAGAGGAAGATGTCATGATAACCTGAAAACTGGCTAATAAAACTTGAGACTTGCTAGAGGGGCTCATGTGGATGGTGTGGAGAGAGAAAAAGAGACTGAATAGAGACTACAAAAGCAGGAAAAGAAAACTGCAAAAGATGCATTCAACAATGCAGAAGAGGAAGGAAATGCAGCAATAGTTCGAGAGGCAAGGGATCAAAACCAGAGGTTTTAAACTAAAATATTTTGACAAGAGTGAGCCAGCAAAAAGCTGAAGGTAAATGAGAATATAGCAGAAAGGTATGAGAGGATGTGCTGGCAGCTCTTGTAGCAGTCTGGCTAAGTGAAATGTTGGCTTCAATGAAGTTAACAGCAACCCTGAACTCAAGGGACAGAACTCAAATTAAATTAAAGCTTAAGCCCTGCTTGTGCTGTAGCAAAGCCATTGCCCATCTGCTACAGTGTGAACACCAAAGAAGAGGTCTCAATTTCAGACATTTGACAACCCCAGGAAAAGCAGACCCATGACTGATACTGCTTTTACCTCCATCTGCAGTATAAGTCAGGACAGCAGTTGCACAGCTTCCCTTGCAAGTAGGTGTAAGGAAGGCTCCAAGGACACCCAGGCAGCAAAGAACAAATGAGCGAGAGTGCTCTGTTTGTCCTGGAAGACACTTGGTCCAGTCTGCCTCTGTTCTGTCTCTGGCTGACAAGATGCCAGGCACACTTTCCTGCACACCACATTCCTGCACACACATGGGCTTGATTTGGTTGCATTAGTTCCACTGCTTGCTCTTTTAAAGCAACTCATAAAAAAACATAGATTTGAGCCTGAGACACAGACACATGTGGTTTCTCTTCTCCCATTTTTGTCCATGTCCTGCTTTTCCGTTCTCCTCCATGCTCCTTTTTCCATGCTACTGTATCCAGCTCATGAGCAAACTGCACCTCAATTACTACTTAAGCAACCATTTTTCATCCCCTGCTTGTCCTTGTGTGTATAGCCCTTCATGCAGTGCGAGGCTGTAATTGAATCTTTGGGCTCCACTGGCATTTATGAGCTCCTACAGCTACTCTGTCAACATCTGAGACACTGTCTGGACTTCCTCACTCAGCTGTAACCCTATGTTCAACTGCAGTCTTGGCATTTATCATGCATACAATCCACTTGCACAGCAACATCTCTCTTTTCACAGCAGAAAGAGCAAATTAAGCTAAAAACCAGGGGCTCTGATTTTTCTCTGTTGGAGTAGCCAAGTCAGCAATAGCCTAGATTTGGGGGGCTGACAGATGATTAGTGGTCTTGAGAACCTCCCCCCATACATGTTCTCATTGCTAAGTCCAAAAAGGGGCAAACTTTTTCAGTAAATGTATTCTCAGCATCTTCCAAAAACTCAAGAGAGGCTCAGATTCATCATGCAAACACTGACACCTCAAAACACTTACTGTATATGAAAAACTCTTTAAAAGTGTATGGATATACAGTGACAGGAGTTAACATAATTTTGGTATGCATTCAAGTGTGTGTATGTGTGTGCCCTACTACACCCTTTAACGCATGGATTTTGACCAGAGCAGCTTTTCCTTCCCCTGAGCTGTGGATGACAGCTCAGAGCTATGTTTTTCTCCTAAACTTTTAGCAGGACCCAGTTGCTGTCAATCTCTCTCATTGGCATTTCCTTCCCTCCTCCCTGGTATTTCTCTTTCTGGACTGAAAGCATTGATGAAAATGTCATTGATTCAAGCCTGAACTTAATCAATGCAGACAAAAGATATATTCTCTTTATAGCCCTTTCTACAAAAGCCACCATTTTCTATGTGCTCAAACTGGCCAAAAATTAGAAACACATTTTATTTTGTTTTTCCAACCAAACCAGCAGCAATTATGGAGCCTGTTTCCTGAGGGCTAACAATCTGCTGGGAGCATCAACCCAGACTGCCATTAATTCCCCAGGAAATGCCCTGGGCCAAGGTTGTTATTGCTATTATAATAAATTGTTTCAATAAATAAAAAACAATCTAGGCATTAACACTGCTGGCTTCCTGTGATGGCTTCATACATTCAGAAACCTCAGTGGGGAGGAGAATTTGAGAGGGCCCCAATAAAAGGTTCAGCATTAAGCATAGCCAGATGAACAGTAGGAGCAATATCTTCTAGGGAATTTACAGTTAGCCCCACAGGCTGCTGAAATCCCTTGGTAGAACAGAGGAAGCTCTCCAGGAGCCCCTTATTAATAAGGCTCAGACCAAGCAGTCCAGAAGTTGGAATGATCTCCCCCGGGTTGTTTTTTGGAAGCCCCTTGTTAATAACTTGGCAGCATTGCTCTCTGCTTATGGAAGAAGAATAAAACAGGGATTTATGTAGGTTTCCCTCTAACAACTTCAATCTGAATGGGGCTACAAAACTGGAGTAAGTCACTTGTCCGAAGGAAGGCATTGGAAGTGCTCTGATACAATTGGGACATTTAATATTTATGTAATCACAGGGGATGGTTCTGGTCTTGGTGACAGACTGTGACTGCAGAGCCAGTTCCAGCTGTCACCAAGAGTGGTGAAATCTTCCCAAGCACTCAGACAGGTTTTGGATCAGGTCCATGACAAATAACAGGTCTGAGGTTTACAGGCAGGGATTGCATATAATTAAAAACCTAACTCTGTAACAAAAATCAGCTTTCAAATTAGGGGTATCCCTGAGCCTTTTGCAGGACTGAACGCTGAGCAAGACTCTTGTCTGATCAGCTTGTAAATTCACTTGTCATAGACATTGTCGACTCTTTCTCCCTGTTTCTGAGAAATTGTGTTCAAGGTTCTTGAAGCTGGGACAAGACTAACACCGAACTAGCTGTGATACTCCTAACCATGGTGATAGCTGCAAACAGAATTGACAGTGAGAACCAACACTCCTGCAAAGAGCCTTCGCTTCCTGCTGTGCTGTGACTTTTCACCCCTCGTTTGTCAATAGGAATGTTCCCAACTTTTATATGACAACTTCAGCCAAAAAGATGGTAGAAATGAGCACAGATTTCACTAGCATTGGTACTTTTCCCAACTGTGGATTGCAAGACCCTGCATGTACCAATGGTGCAAATGACAGAGCCTGCAGCTCTTCATTGCAACTTCCCAACAAAACTTATCATCTTGTGAAGAAAAGGTGAACACAAGTGAGCACATGATTTTGGTATTCTCCCGAAGCCAAGAGACACCCCACTGCCAGGAGGCAGGAAAATAATGGAGTAGATTGTCCTTACAAGTAATAGAGTGGATTGTCCTTACTCTTGACCCATGCAATACCAAGTGCCCGTAACTGCCTTTTCCTGGAGTGGATTTGAGGGTTTACAGCATCCCCTGTACCAAAACCAAAAATTTTCTTTATATATCACGTCTTCCTTTTACAGTTTACTCTTGCGAAGTCCTGTTTTGAGCCAACTCACCAGCACAAGCAAAACCTGAATACAGCAATTTCAGTTTGCAAAGTGTACCTGAGGGACGTTTTTAGTGTCAGGAAACATTGCAGTTCTTGCATTAATGTCTCCCTATGGCACAGAAGCTGTGGTTAAGAGTGGTGGAAATTGTGTGAAGCAGAACCAAAGTCTTCCTGGCTGTCCAGCACCCTGCCTCTCCTGAGACACTTCTGTGGCTCCTCTATGAACATCAACAGTTGCTGTGGCTTAAGCTTACTTCAGGGCTCAAAACTCAGGGAAGCATGAAAATTTCCAAGTATTTTGCTGCTCAGTGTCTGCAGGATGAACGGGGGTGGCTTTGCAGTGCTTTAGTTTTATGCAAATGACATTTGTGCCCTGTGACACAGCTTGTCTTTGAAAATATAATCTAAAACCTCCACATTCTCACATATATCAAAATAAATCATGCGAATTCTATCCTCCCTGCTAAAATCAAAGAGCTAAATTACATGTAGCAAATAAAGATGGCTTAGGACATAGAATCATAGAATCATAGAATATCCTGAGTTGGAAGGGACCCTTAAGGATCATCAAGTCCAACTCTTGACACCGCACAGGTCTACCCAAAAGTTCAGACCATGTGACTAAGCGCACAGTCCAATCTCTTCTTAAATTCAGTCATCTGCTGTTTCAATCCACAGGGCAGCCATCAATTATTTTTGTGATAAATAACAAACTGAACATCCATACCATTGAGATCAAAATTCACCTAACAGTCATGGTGCAACAAGCTCCTCAACTCCTCACTGTAAACCAAAGTTGTGAGGTCTTGGTTTTGCCTATTTGACATCCAGTGAATCCAAACACATCACAAGGAGACCACATTGTGAGAGGACAAGCAAGTTCCACAGCAACATGACAGTTAAAGCTGTCATTATTTATTACTGGTGCTGGAGTAAGTTTTAGAGGCTCCTGCCAAGAGTGACACCCTGGGAAAGGGATGAATCGAGGCCTTGTGCCCCATAAAAGGAATGCAGAGTCAAAGAGCTCTGCTGTGGTAAATGGAAGCTAAGTCCTTGGGGCATAGTCAGCAGTCCTGAATCCTAGTACCAACTGGCCCCTACCATAAATCCTACAACCTTCTGCTACCCATTACCATTCAGATGGGGAAAATAATGTTAACAGCATTTTATTTTATAGTAAAGTTGGGAATGAAGGTATTTTTTTCATGTCAAAAATGGCAGATGTAGGTAAAAGAGGGGAGAAGTGTGATACATAGAAGATTCATTTAATGTTTGCTTTTCCTAATCTTTCCTTAGGGAAGTCCATACAATGAAAATATATCCCTTTCAGCCATCTTTTGTGAAGAACATTACTACTTCCACTTAATCTGCCTGCTTCTTCAAGGTGTCATGAAAAAACAGGACCCAATGCCACCATTCAATGACTAGAAAGTCAGAACTTTGCATTCACTATTCGTGGTCCTTTTAGAAGGACTGTCCACTAAGTGTGCAGAAAAACTCTTAAGCTACTCAATGATTCCAAAATGCAAAGCTCTAGTTAGTTGTTTCAAATCCAAATACTTGTCTGTAGCAGCATGGTGGCACCTCAGCAAAACCAAGAGCATTGCAGCAAGAATGCATTAGTATTTAGTGAATCAGCAAGGCTGAATGGCACAAAGGCATGAATAATTGTTGCTCGCAAATACAAGAGTTTTAGTTATATAGACCCCAGACTAACTGTGAGCAGACCAGTTGCAGTACACAGAATTATTAACAGTGTGTAGTGAAAGAGCAACACGTTAGTATTACTAACAAGGTGCATACAAATATTTCATTCAAATGGAGAACAATCTGCAATCCCATAAGAAACTTCCTTCTGTGGAAAGCAGTAGTTTGCCCTAAAATGTGTTGAATTAGTGCATCTGATGTTACTCAGCCAATGCTCCTCCTATTCTGGGCATGGCTTATCCAACTCTGTAGTCAACCTCTACTTTGACAAGGCACCTCACAAGATGGAAAACATTTGCACTACATCTCCTGCCTTTGGTGGACTTTTTGCTATCAGTGGTACTGACCCCAAGCAATGAACAGAGCACACAGTCTCTATCTCAAGAGCAACTTTTTAACACCAGTCTTAAAGGCAGATGGTTCCTCTGCTACTTGAAAGCTGCATGTGGGTGAAAGATAAACTGGGATCCAAGGAAATCTTGCTCTAAACTACATTTAAATATACAATTAAGCAGACTCTCAAGCTACTTCATCTTCACACTTCTACTGAAGATAAGCCAAATTCTCTTAAGCAGGGTAATGATCTGAGTGTTGCTTATTTTCCAAATTACAGGACAACAAGCTTGCCTTCCTAATGTGCCAGGCTTTGATCTCCAGGAAAATGGAGCATTAGGAATAATACAGCACGTAAGATTACATTGTATTCAACTTCAGATGAGAGCAAATCCAGGGAAGCGCAGAGCACAATAAACCCTGTTGTATACTGTCAGCTAGAGCTGCCCTCGTCAGGTCTTTCAAGGGAGAATTCGCTGAGAGATGAATGAAAAACACCAACAGTTCAAAGAGGTGGATTTAGCCCTAGGTGGCTGTGAAACATAAGCTTGTTTGAGGGTCTACAAAGAGCCCAGAGAGGTGGTAGCCACCAGACCTACCTGTGATGAAGGCGTATGCTGCTAGGATGTTGCTGAGCAGTGCCATCTCTGTGCTAACGCCCACGGGCTCCATGCTGCTGGTGAGCACTGGCGGTTGTGTCTCATCCACAGGAAGCAGGAAGGGGGTGTTGTCCAGAGGGTAGAACGTGGCCGATCTCCCTTTCTTCTTCTCTGCTTTTGAAACAGAAAGGGAATGAGGAACCAGGCAAGTGTACCAGCGCTGTCCTGCCCTAGCCTCACAAGGTCAGGATTCAGAAATCCAGAGCTGCTCAGCAGCAAGCCACCCAAATTTGCTCCTCTTTTTGGGGGCAATTAAGCCTTTGCAGTTACCTTCAGTTGAGTCCATGCCCTGTCTGCATCCAGACAGCATCTTCTCTCCCCCGTCTCCTGCTCTTTCATGTCACCACTTAAACACACCCACCTACGTTACAGCAAATATGTAATCAGGTTTCTTTTCTCTTATGTAAATCAAAGGGGCCTTTATCAGCTAAGCTTGTTATAAGCCAGCACACTGGCTCAGAAAACACCGGCAGAGTTGGCAACCCTCCGCCAGTGTCACACTGCAGCGATCCATCCACACCTGGCAAACAGACGCACTTTCTCTCCAGCTTTTTCAGGGAAGGGCAGATCTGAGTTTATGACTTCCTTCAGAAGCCTGCTTGCATTGAGTTTCACCCAGACATCATTTCCCCTTTGGAGAGGTGAGTGAACTTGGGTTTATGATTTGATTTTATTTGTTGAAGACCGGAGCTAAGAATACAGCTAATTCCAGGAGGCTCAAAGCGACCCTTTCAGACCTTATCAGCTCACTGCTGAGTACTCTCTGCACCTTGATCTGCTGGCAGACACCCCCACCAGTTATAAAACACTAATTGTTTTAAACACACAAAAAAAAGTCAGTGCACAGGACCCAGCTCCATCATCCATGTGGCTGTTTAACGGTAGCTGTTACAGATTTCCAGGCTCCTTTCCCCATGTGTCTGGTTCCAAGCAGCACAAGGTAAAATCACAGACTTGCACCTGGCTCCCATTTACCTGCAGGTATTAAATTCAGGAAACTGCCGGGTTCATCTCCTACAATACCATCAGTGCCATGCAAGAAAAGGCACTCTGACCACAGCCACAACGTGAGATGGTCTGTGCTCACCTGATCTGTCTCTGTTCCCTGAAAACCTGCCAAAATGAGACATCACCTTCAACCTGTGAAGTGGCACAGCCCAGGGAAGCAGTGACAGAAATTGAGGGCTGTCAAAGAGAACAGGTAATACTGGGTGGAGAGGCACTGAGTGCACGAACGTGCGTGCAGCAGTGTCAAGTCCTAATCTGCCTCACAGGAGAAGCAGCGGGGATGGACGTCCAGGTGTAGCTGTAAGCGATGAGCCCCGAGGAATGTGGTCACAGTTGTATCTCTGCCACTGAAAAGCTGCATGGCCTTGGAAAAGCCACACTTTACAAGCTACCAAGGTGTTAATGACTGGCCCCCAAGCAAAGTTTTCAAATGTGGGTGCCTGGCTGGCAGATGCAAAAGAGAAAAATATCCAAAGAGCCTCTTGCTCTGGGAGAACAGTGATTGCTGCAGACGAGTTACGCAATGGAGGCACTGGGGCACAGAGGGGTAAAGGCACAGCCAGCAGGAAATTAACAGGAAAGCCTTGGAAAATATTTTAATTCAGATGTAAGCACCAGAAATATTAACATGATCTCTAATCTTTCTTTTTATTCTCTTTGCCCAGTAAATCCACATCTGTACAACTGGTTGAGTTTTTCTCAACTACTGTTCCTGCAAAGAAATCCACTGAAAGAAGGGTAAATGTTTCATGCCCACACACTGAACCACTACCCTCCTGAAGATGTCCTGCACACTTCAAAGCATATCACATAGCACTATGTATCTAGACTGAGGCAACTGAATCCTGCTGTTAGTTGACAGACCTTAAGAGTGATTCAGCTCTCGCCATGGCTGATACTTAAAGCTTGATGTTATTTGCTCATACACAGACCTCTAAGAAACCTCTAAGAAACCTCAGGGTCAGAAGGACATCCATGCTGTGCTGCCAGATATGAGAAGAGATGTAGGGAAAACTCTCACCCTTATAGAGCAGCATCCAGAAGCCAGGTGAACATCCCAGGTCATCTCAAATGAGACATATATGTGGAAGCAACTGTATCCTGCCCAGGATGTCGACATACTGAGGCAGAGCTCTGAACTACTTAATCTAAAATCCCTTTACAATCAATGAAAAGGAAAAGAATCATCAGATGATCTACTAACCATACATCTGATCCTAAAGAGGCCCACTGAGTTAGGTGGCTCCAGGTTCCTATGATGTCTTTGAGAGATTTCTATGACACAGCATTGAAGTCCAGCTAACATAGATTAGGTAGGATATGAACCCGGGACCTCTGCATCATGCTCTCTCACTTGTCCAGCTCTGGGTTAGTGACAACCTACCTTCCCCTCACTGTCGATGCATTCACAGGATCTCACTAGGACTAAGGTTTAAACTATACTACCTGTAGGGGCTTCTCTGTGTTCAGGTACTAGATCAGCTAGGAAAGACTGAGATGGGCACCACTTCTGCCTGGGTTTGGACATCCCTTGGAAACCAAGCTGTGCAAAAATGGTGTCTTTTAGGAGAGACTAATGCATAACTCCTCTTATGTGAAATGTAAGAAGAATATTTTTTTTTCTCTGACACATCCAAAGAACAGATGCAATCAAACAAGTTTTTAAATTAATACTCATCTGCATACACTATACTCTGGCAAAGAACACCACAAAACCACAGAACTGGTTCTGTCATCTGCAGGACTGTACAAGCACAGACAGGGAAGACAGAAAATGACTGGGGTTATGCAGGAGGGGAAAAAAAAAAACAAACAAACATAATTTCATAAGGGTCATGTGTTGCTATGCTACGCAGTTCCCTGTGTCATTTAATCCAGGATCGTACTAAAAGGAACCTCTTTTTCTTTGCTAGCTTTGCAGACTTTGTCTTCACCTAATCCCTCACTGGTTTTCTCTTCACCATGTTCACCCTTTCCCAGCTGTTTCCACTCACTCAAGCAGTTTCCCAGTGACTTTACACCAAAGTTGAATGAAATTATTGCAGCTAGCAGTAAATTTGGCCAGCGACACAATTTAAGCATAGCAGAGGTTATCCATGATATCAGGTAGACTTTAGCAAATAGTTTTAATAAAAGAAATAAAACAGGAAAGGAGATTGCAGAAATGTCCAAATATTGTTTTTGCTATTTTTGAAACAGTCTTACAGCTTTTAATTTCAAGATGACATCTTTGTTTGAAAAGTTGTGTGTATTTTCAAAATGAATGAATAAACAATAAGAAAGCTAAATAAAAAGGTGTCATTTTTAGAAATGAAATGTTTAGATGAATGAAAATGAGTTCAGCACTTTTTTGTGCATTTAAAAGAATCATGGGGATCACAACATTTATTTCAGTCTGACCTAAAATTCTTCTCCTTGACAAATTTTCAGTAAATCCTCTAAACTGACAAATCTGTTCTTGCTGACTTTTAGTTACCTGCAGATTGATTATCCAGGCTGTGGGTTAACTTTACCAAGACTGCAGACAAAGACAAGGTAGCCCTGTCCATATACTCCTTAAAGCTCTGGGAGCACAGGGTGGGAATTTCAGAAATAATGTTATCACCGTCTCCAGCATGTTGGGAAACATAATGCAAAAACACTGCCTAACCCAGTAAATGCTCACCTGTGCTCTTCCTTTGTTCATACACCATCCCTTCCTCCTACTCACCTGTCCCTAGATAGCAAAGATTTGACTTCATTCATATCTCTTCGCTTTGCATTTTATGAAAATAGCATCATATTTCAAAGCTCAGCTGAATGCTTCTCTGTCCCCTCTGAGGCAGATCTCCTGCTATGTCCGCCCTGGTTTTGATTTGCCACTGTGTTAGACGGGTCTGCAAAGAATTTCTGTGATGAGTTTTGACATGCATGGCCATTACTGCTACTTCAAGAAACCCAGAGTGAGTTTCACAGTTCACTTTAGTCAGTAGGTTGTCATGCCTCAAAACCTCTCTTTGTGACTTTGACATATAGACATATATGTACCCTGTTTTGACATATAGGGTACAATATAGAAACCCAGGTAAGGTATATAGCCTCTGTAAGGGGAGATGGAAGGGAACGGCTACCACACCACAGTTAGGTTTGAGACAGCATTGCAATAGTCATAGCTACCTGGGAGAGCACGTCCTATATTGGAAGGAGAGACATCAGAAAGGAACACGCCGTCCCCTATAACATTGGGATCAAACACCCTTGGCCGCAGTGGAAAATGTGGCTTCTGAAATCCTTGGTAATTGGTTGGTCCTGGCTGGGTTTCATGCAGAAGCTTCCTGGGAACTGAAAGAGAAGAGTAAGAAAAGCACAGTTGTTAGAGCAAGTTATTTCAGCTGGTCAGGATGAGAATTATCACATTATGCTATGGGCTCAGCTGATACTTAATTATACCATGTGCAGACCAAACAGACACTCATTTACCACTTGATGAATGCTCTCCAAATGCCAGCACAGAGACATTCAATGGGAAAATGCTAGAAACTATAAAGTGAATAAGATATTGTTTACTTATAATTAAGGGTTGAGACTAGACGAAGGGTCAGATTCAAACAGCTTATTTAGACACCCATCTAAGGCACTGAAATGCCTGGTAAGCTGGTCTTTGGTCTCAGCCCTGAGGTTTGGAGTCCTCCAGCTAGACAGCCCCGTTCCTACCATGGTGTAGAGTTGGGCAGGAAGCCCATAGCAAAGGGGAGGGACTGTTGGGTATGCCTGAATCCCTGCCTCTCCCCAGCCATCAGGTTGCTGGCTCAGAACTGCACAGCAGATATTTCTGTCCACTTTGGAATCCCAAAACCAACCTTTGGAAGATGCTATCCACAAAAATGCATAAAGCCTAAAACATCCACCACAGAATAAGAAACCCTGCCTATAAGAAATCCTCCCCACCCTGTGGGATTGAAAACACTCCTCATTGGGCTTTAGGCATCAGCTAAGCTGGGAAGGACCCCTCCTCTATTCCTGCCACCCCGAGGAAGAGGGTGAAGGCTCAGCTAAACCCTTTGGCTCCATGTTTCATCCAATACACAGGTAAGGTAGGTTGATATGTCTACAAGAGCTGTGTCTGAGCATCTTTGGCCTCTTCTTTGGACCAAAGTGTGCCTTAGTAAGAAGACTATTTTCCCCTCCTCGATGTTGCAAGGCCAGCTCTTCAGCTGTACCTCCAAGCAAAGCAATCAAAGCCGGTGTGACTACACCAGCGTACACCCACTGAAAGTGAATCCACACCATAAATTCACTGATCAAGACACTGAAGCATGTCACCTGTGGAGCTGAACCAGTTCTCTGCCTCAGCCGAGGCCATCGCCTGAGGCTATTTCCGAGCAAAGTGCCTTTCCATACAAAGAGAAAAAACAGATAGACGGGTCGTTCAGCTCAGAAATCAGAGGAGTAGAGCAACGAAGGACAAAATAAATAAATTTAAATTTCCAGAGGAGAAATATATGTTCTCCTCCACTGACTGTACTCTAATACATACATCAAAGCACCACTTTGTCCCTTCAGAGAGCCAGGACTTTACTGTGTTAAAGACCCAGACTGCTGAGAATGAGGTGCAAGCTCATTAGACCTACAGAAACCCCAAGGGAGGGCTGCTGGGATACTCAGCTCTCCTTCCTCCAAGTCTAATGGCCACTGCCTCTCGTGCCCCAAGCTGGCTGCCGCCTCCTGGTGCCTCAGTTTCCCCACTGCTCTGTTGCAGATCGTTCTCTCATCTACGCTCTTCACAGGGGTGTGATGTAGCATAATTAAAGAAGTAAAGCACTTTGAGATCCTTGGCAAAGGCTCGGAGGAAGACTTGGAAAGCGTGCAGCCCTGGAACAGAAAGGAAATTCCTGCCTGCCCCCTGCAGCTAATCAGCTGCCAAGCTGGAGCATGAGATTTAATCGTGCCCACTAAATTTGCCTGCATAACTACAAATATTACTGGTGGGGGAAGCAATCCAACCGCCTTGTTTACATTGTGTTTGACTTACTGTCTTTGCTGAGGCAAAGAGAATTGTAACTATATTTACTGACTGACCTGTATGAGGCTGCCAAGATATCAGCATTGAAGTTCTCACATTATTAGTAGAGTCATGCTAGGTCAGGAAACAGACATAAAAAACCTACAGCTCTTGAATAGCAAAAAGCTGGCACAGCAGTTTCTAGTGAAACCAGAATTGGCAACTGTCTTCTGATGGGAAGGCAGCAAATGAAACATATCCCCTGCTAAGAACTAAACAGAAGCAAGGGGAATACCTATGCCAGAGAAATATCAGAAAGTCTGGGGAGGAGGTGGGTAGAACAGAGACCATCCACACAGCCAGGGAGAATCACAAGTCCGGGTGACTAATTTGAGACACCAAAGGGAAACCTGATATTCAGAGGGCTCAGCATCCTCCAGAAATAATAATAAATAAATAAATAAATAGATAGATAGATAAATAAATAAATAATTTTTTTTTTTTTGCTGCATCTCAGGCTGAGGACCTGAAAGGCATCTAAAGGACTCAAGTCAATATACCCTTAAACACTCTTCCAAATTGCAACCCAAGTAAGCTGTTGATATATGTCTGATGAAGAAAATGAAGCAAGAGAAACACAGAGACACATTTTTAGCATATTTTGAGCTAGCCTTTCACATTTCAGACTGCCTTTTAATCATAAACATCCCAGTATTCATGTCCATCTCTGGGGCAGAACACAGGCACAGAAGCTGGGTGGAGCCGTGTCTTGCTTTGAACAGGTGGCACCATCAGCTACTTCAAGCCAAATGGGAAAAAAAAATAATAAATCTTCTCCTAAGCACACTTAGGAAATTGAACTACATCTTTTCTTTTGGCAGCTGTGCCACAGCCACTATAAATGCTACCTGAAGGACCGCAAGAAGAAACAGAGTAAAACAAAGCATCATAAATCACACAGCAACCAGTCAACGGCATCCCAACGAAGTGTGGAGATGGAGATGTATTCGGAGTGATTCACTCATAATGTGTCACAGCACAGCACTTTACTGGGCTATGGTTGTGCTTTCATCTTTTGGGGATGGCTGAGAAGGTAAGGCATAAAGAATAATACCAAGTGGGCATTTGGTGTCTAAAAATGCAGATGGCTATGTAGAGAGATTCCCAAAAGCAGGCAGACATTTAACATCTGTGATTAGCATGTGCTTTGGTATTTTTAAAAATCCTAGGCAGTTCTTGTCTTCATCTCAGCAACTAAACCCCTTTAAAGATCTGGAAGCAACTCAGTGCAAAACAGGATGTCTACAGCAGATGAACTTAGGACTTTTTCATTTGAAGGTACCATTTTTCTCTGTGGACTCCATAAACATCTTGAGGACATTTTGCCAGGACAAGACTATCTTGGCAAAGAGTAAATAGAGTGACGGTACATGGCAAGTCTGTTCTTTTTCTAGTTTATACGACACTAAACCCATACGCAGCTTAGATAGCTTGATTTAGAAAGTAAAATGGAAAGGCTTTTTCAAGTGCAAAACACCTCACAATTTCCAGTTAGCTTCTGTGTGGCAGCCAACTCCACAAGAAAGATTAAACATCTGGTTCCTTTGAAATACCCTCCTTAAATTCTCCAGAGAGGAGTACATCTGACATTAAGCATGGCATGAACTGAAGCAAGGTGTCAAGAAAAGTTATTTGTAATTAAACCCACCAGAAAAAAAGTACCTGGGATTTTAGTCTTATCTCAGCATTAAGCACAGAAATCCTGGCAGGGAAGGGCTGGCACTCAGCCTGCTCCATTCAATCAAGCAGAGAAGTTAACACAACTCAGTCAGCAGAACAAGTGAAATATGAGGACAAGTGGGAATGAAACGGGGCCCTCAGTCAAAATGCTAACACGTCCGATAGTCAGGAGCCTTGCACCTTGAAATATGGATGAAAAATGAGTTGGGATGAGTTGGAAGAGGGGAGATGCTTGGGGGACTTCTGGGGATCTTCAGTCTTTCAAGGGGTAGCAATCAGTGTTGAGACGTGGGCATTTATCCAAATGATGAAATTCTCAGATAATGTGGCCCAGGCAGCTGAGTGGGGCTTACAAACTTTATATCATCCCTCTGTGTCTGTTTTAAAAGCAGTTCAGGCTCCTTGCTCCCACTGCTCCTACTGGAAGACTGCTCATCTGTCTGAATCAACATCGTGCTGGCGATAATTTATTCCAGTTCCCAAACCCAGACTTGCATTACCCATTTACGATGAATTAGTGGTACCAACCCCACAACACATCCTCACCACCACTGTCTGCCACCCTCCCCCTGCAGAAGCAGCAGCAAATGAAAATCAAAGCCAAAGCGTGCTCTGGCTGGTACAGCAGACCCATCAGACTTGAATACAGGCAACTGGCAGGACAGCATGAAGAGGCACGTGCTGCTGCTGCTGACAGCATCCTTATTTGTACATGGTGGAGCCTCCTTCTGCTGGGATTTTCACACAAGCACTCTCTTGTGTGGCCAGGAAACAGAGTTGCTATGCCTACAAGCAGCAAAATTATGAATTGCAGTGCTAAGAGATGGAAAATGCCAGCCAACACCTCGCCTCTTTGTTAACCAAGATGGTTTGCTGTATTTTGTCTACTATGTTGATCTGTCTAGTTTTAAACACTCCAGTTCTGGGGGTTCGGCTCCTTGCCACATGGGATTATTTCG